TTGTTTCTTTTACGATGTATACCATGTTATATACAATATCAAATAAAGAAATGATGCTTACCTATGAGGGGAAATTCCAAAAAAAAAATAATAATAATAATTTTTTTAATAATAAAAATAAGTGAAACAATTCAGAGATCTTCACTTTAATTAATATTAGTACAATAATATAATTTTAAATTGAAAAAATCACTATACATATATGAATGTACATATCTTAAATCAACAAATATACTGTATATAATCTAATAGATATAAAAGCAATAAATAATTTAATTTATATAATTTAAGATTTGGTAAAAGTAATGAATATTTATTAAATAATTATTTATTTTAATATAATTATTATCACTTTGAAGATTTTTAAATTTTTTTGAAATAAAAACTTTTAAAGATTATTATTTTAAAAATTTCTATATTAAAAATTATTAAAAACTTTTGAAGATTTTTGAAGATTTTTGAAGATTTTTTTGGAAATTTTCTGATAATAGTAATATATAAAACCATGATATAATTTTAAAAAAAGTTAACTTAATCATAATCTTAAATAGTTTATTAATTACAAATAGTTTATTAAAATTTAAAGAGAATTGCATGGCATAATAATAGCTTAATAAAGGCACACTAGTGAATATAAAAAAAGACAAAAAAAAAAAGAAGAGAAAGAAAGGGCAAAAAAAAAATTAACAATAATAAAAAGCTATTCCTTAAATTAAAAACTTTTTAATTAAGATATATTATTACTATTACCTAACTAGGTAAATTCTAATTAACTTATCTAATCTAGTACTTGTTGTAAAGTAGAACAATTAAGACCACAAAGAAAGAAACAATAAAGATTTATCAAGGGAAGTGAACAATAAAAAAAAAAGAGAAGAGTTAATAGAACTTGGCTAAACAAATTATACATCTCAGATAGAGAATCCAAATACTTATATGATATTATATGAAAAATGCTTTGAAGAAGTAACAGACTTGTCAAAAAAGATGTTAACAATAGATAGATTGCTATTATTAAGTTATATATAATATAAATAATATTTGATATATTCTTAATATCTATATATATCAATAAAGACAGTATTTAATGTGATTTACTATAAAAAAAAAATTAAATTTATCAGTTAAATAATATAAATAATTTTCCAACTATAAATTTAATTTAAATTTTATCTAACTTTTCTAGTAAAGAAAAAATATATAACTTTATAGATTCTATTATAGATCTTGAGATTATTAATAGTAATATTTATATTCTTGAATTTTTTAATATATATTTTTTTAATAAATTTTTTTCCTATAAATTAATACTAAAAAAAGATATATTAATTATATTACTTTAAAATATAAATGCAAAAAAAGTCTATACAATAAAATATATCTAATTGTTTAAAAATTTTAATAATATATTTTTGATATAAAGGTTTTAATAAGTTTATATACTAGATAATATATATGTAATTTTCAAATTATTAAATATTGTTATAATATGGATTGTTGTCAAATGTTATAATTAAGCTATTTTTTATATTAACAATTAATAAAATATAAGGTCAAATAATTTTTAAACTTCTTTTCTGATCACATCTGTTTTGTTAAAAATTTTCCTTTTATAATAATTTTAAGTAAGAAAAATGGTTTACACTCTTTATCACAAATGAGCCTTAACTCAAGAACCTTCAAGATAACTGATACAGTGGGATGGGACCTCTGGTCAAAGTTTACTCAAGTTTGGAAGTCTTGCTTATTCTTTGGTTACATGAGAAAAAACCTGTGACAATTTTCTTTTCTTTTGTTCTTTTGTATCCCTCCTTTTTTTTACTATATCACAAAAATCATCTATATCAATATCATTACACTCGTTAAGTTAACACTTTCCAAAAAATATACTTAAATAAGATTGTTGGGTCTATTGTTTGTTTTAATACAATCTTTATATATAACTTTATCATGACATTATTTACTGCGCCATTTCAAAATTTTCAAAAATTTTTTTTTCAAAAACTGAAATCAATTTACTCTCTTCAGATAATCAGTACCTTACAATTATCCAATCAGATTTTGCATAAAAATCAAAACAAAAACTGAATGTATCCAAACCAGTTTTATATCACAACAACAATTATAATAACAAGCAATATTACATGTATTCTTTTATCTATAATAACCAAAGAGCTGGAGAAATGGGACCACGCACCTATTTGGAGGCTCTTTTGGAGAAATAATTGGGTTTCTACTTATAGATTCTATAGTTTATTCAACTTAGTTTTAGTTTTAATTATATTTATTATTTTTTTTTCATTTACTTTATACTTCAAAAATCAAAAGATTTTACAAAATTTTCAAGTAAGTAAATATAGCCATTACTTCGCTATCTGATATTTTAGTATTGCTTTTGAAATTATTTACAATATTAATTAAATAGTGATCAAGTAAACAAGCTAACATTTAAATTGTTATATGTAATTGCACTCAAGAAATGTTGTTTCTTTCTTAATATATATATTCATATATAATAATAAATAAAGAGATGATGTTTATCTACTAAGAAAAATCCAAAAAAAATAAAAATAAAATAAAAAATAATTTCTAAACTTGAACTTTATTTTTTAAGCCTAGTATTTATTTATAATTAATTATATATTACTATTTTATAGATATATTCTTCTCAAAATATTAAGATTGTTATAAAAAATAATCAATTAGAAGATAAAAAAAATTATTATACTATTAATATAGTATTTCATAAGATTTTTATATAAACAAATTTAGTATAATATTATTATATAATTATATACTTAATAATATTAATATATCTATAGATAATAATAATAATGCACTTTATAATATTCCCATTTTACATAACAAACCAAAAATTTTTATAAAAAAAAATTTTTTTTATAAAATAATTAAAATTAAATTATTAAATTCTAGATACCTAAAACATTGTGAGAGTTATTTTATTTATTATTTTTTTTTTAAGAGACAAATTATGCAATGATACATATCTGCATTGTAAGAGTTATTTGCTAGTTCTATTAATAATAATACTTTAAATATGTTTATATATTTTATTAGAAGAATCAAAATTAAAAATTTTGTATAGGAATTTTATAATAAATATATTAACATTAGAAGATTATATTTATTTTAAATGCGTTCGATATTTATAATTCGGAAATTGGGATCAGCATCACATGTTACATCTATTAATAGTATCGGTTCTCCGTTTTACAGCAGAATTTATGCCCTGACTATGATATTTTTAAATAGGACAATCAAAAGAAAACAACGAATTTTATATAATTTAAGCCACTGCTAAGATAATTGCAGACTCTAGCTTAATAGAGGCGAGCTAATCTGTTTGCAGTATTGTCATATGATATTGCAATAACTAATCGAGCAATGTGTAACGCATAACACAGAATCTATTTCTCACATATACCCCTAATTTTAGAGTTTTCACAACAAAACGATGGCCCCCATTACTCTTGTCTGCTTAGTCAAAGGAAATTTACCTGCCTCTGTGAACGCCTTTGCCGTCGACATTGATAATAGTAAGTTAGTAAGCCACCTCAAGAGAGCTATCAAAACAAAGAAGGCACCCGAATTTTCCCATTTCGCTTCAGATAAACTCAAGCTATGGAAGGTCGAAGTTCGTGACAGTTATAATAATAAATTAGCAAAACTTTCTCTCCATGAACGTGACGAACTCCTCGCAACTCGTGATATCAAAGACTACTGGACAGAGAGTCCGCCAAAAAGACATATTCACGTAATAGTTTTACCACCAACCACCGCGTCTACCGCGTCTACTAAGAAGCAAAAAGAGTCCGAAAAACCAAGTGTGATGCACGAATCACCGGCAAAATTGTCACGTAAAGAATTGAGACTGGAAGGTATCATGAATGAATTATCGGTTGACGTGATGGAAGATATCATAATGAGCAACGACGCGTCTACAGACAATGTACTTTTTCCAGAATCCCTTCAGCATCTGTGTCGGAAAGTGTGTAAACAAGAAAATCAAACAATCTCTTGCTATTATAAGTTTGGGAAAGCACTTAAGGATCGACTTGATGAATTTATAGAGAAAAAACACGTAAATGCTCGAGAAACATTAAGCAAAGAAGTTTGTGGTAATTTTCCACCTGGTACTTCTCCCAATTTAGTAAAGAAAAAAATGGAAAAGGCTCGAAAGATATACGATCTTTTTAGTGTTATAGGTGAAAACAAGATTCAGCGAGTTCGTTCATTCTCTGTGGACGCGATTTCATCACTTACGAAAGATGAAATTGGTTATATAAAAGGAAAATTCTCATTATAATATGAATGTTCATACTGCATTTGATTTTGATCATGTACGGGTTACAATAATTGAATAGAGACCCGTGATCATGAAACTGGTTTTAATATTATAGAATGTAGCTCAAAGACTTTTTTACATCGAAATTATTGTTCGAAAATAAAGGAAAATACAGCATAATAGATTTTTTTATATTAATTTATTTGTTAATTTGAAATACTTGCAATTTTTTTTATTTTACAAGTATTTTTTTAATATAAATCAAGTTTTATTGAATTATAAATTTTTTTCTTTTTTTTGATGTTAAGGTGAGACATGCTTATGATCTTTATTAATAAGGTAATTATTACACAATTAATGTTAAGATATAAGATATATGGACAAAGTTACATATATTATGTACATATTAGTCTACTATCTATTGTAGTAGATATATTTCTAATAAAAAATCCTAAGGCAGGAAAAAGTTAAGAAAGAAACTATTTATGTATAAGAATAAAATAAATTATATATATATGTATTGTTAGCAGGGAAATTGTTTCAGTAAGGCCTGGTGATGCGACGTTCATGTAACGTGCCTAATCGGAGTAACGGAAATGCTTTAAAAATAGACTTATGATGTAATGAAAAGTTTAGATAGTTTATTTTATAGTCTGATAGTTTATGAGTCATAAAGTTATAG